CAAGACAGACAAAAAACTGACTAGCAAACATTCGAAGCAAGAATTAGCGGCAGAATGACCTTGTTTAATAAGATTAATTTAGTGGCGCTGAGTAACTAGTGAATGGTAAGAGCCTTGCGTTATCGACAGCTTGAAAATTCCAATGACTGCTATCACATGAAAACGTCTCAAGTAGTCATGGCGCATGGTGTAAAGTTGACAAAAGAAACATGAGTAATTAAGAGACTCCGTTAGATCGGAAAGGCCAAATTTATAAATAGCTCAAGATTTAAGCTGCAAGTAATATTGCATCGTTAGTAGAGGAGCAAATCTATATATGAATGCGAAAATTGAATCGAATTGGGAAAAAGTGTCTATTAACGTTGGGAGTGAAAGAGATGCTGAGGTATGAGTCATATGCATTGTAATGGTATGGTCATTTTATATAATAAATCTATAAAAATGTATGTGAGGGCATGGTGTGGCCTAGATAGCAAGGCGACAAATACAGAAACTTTGAAGTCGCAGCGCCAAAAATAAAATCCATGTAGCGGAATACTGAATAGTAACGAACAAATAACAAAATATTAAGCATCCAAAACAAGAAGTGTCAGGTGGACAGGTATCGGCCAAAAAGATGGTGCTCAATGAGGCATATTCAGAAAGCGAAGTCTGGTATCTCTGTTTAAACAAAATCGAATAAACCCACAAGGCTACTTAAGGAGCGGAACAGATAATATATACAAAAGCTATCGAAAGAATCCATCAAAGTATTATTTGAGTTCACATAAGGATGTAGATGAACAAATATACGTGAAATGATCCAAAGTTGGAACAATTAAGAACGCTATGTCTCGATAAAGAACGACGCTAAGAAAAGGCTCGCAGAACTCGATAGTAAAAAAATTCAGCATTCACATTATATAATAAACGAGCAGTATTGACAGAAGCAAGTCAATGCAGAATTAAAAGAGCAAGCTGAAGCCAGAAGCCATGGAATCAGTTCAAAAGTCCCAAGACTTATTGCTTCGGTCCTTTAAAGCGCGATAGCTGATCAAAGACTAATGAGTTGATTGTGTCAAGGGGTGTTCTTCAGCATCACCTCATCGAGTTGCAAGTAGGCTGCATTGATGTTATTATGGAAAGTTAGTGCAAGCTGTCAGTGTAGTGTAACTGACAGGCCACAAATGACCAGATTTAAATTTATTCAGTTACTGGTTTTACCGTACAACAAATGGGTGCTCGAGAGTTGGAAGGACAGACTGATGAAAAGCCCCGCCTGGATGCCCGGGACCTGTTTGCATAGAGTTATAGTAATGATCAGAATGGGGAGTCACAGTGGTTAGTGCTTGAGGGTGGGAGAATCCGATAGATGATGTCGATGAGTCAGACGAGAATAAGCCACCTGGAGGGCCATAAACCTCAATGAAGAGGTAAGTCAATGCCAAAAGTAAATTTGCAGCAACCAGGAGAGTGCCAAGGCCGATGAGCATGAGAAATATTGCACGTCGCTGACGACAACTGGGAATTAAGGGCCGGAAGAGAAGTTCAATCAGAGCTTGGAGGATCCACTGGCCGTCAAGAGCATAACATGGAACAGAATTTAGCAAAACAAGTGCGCCAGATAGCGAGAACAAGTAACTGTATGAAAATGATAGGAAAGAAACCAAAACAAAGGTGTAAACTCTTTTAGTGTAAATCAGATTGATATAATAAGAAAGTTTTATTGGTTAAGGATGAAAACCAAATACAATTTATATGGACTCTAAACGCTTTGGATCGCACAAGGTGTGGCTTAAGTTTGCGACGAAAAAGCGATGTTGGAGGCTTGATTTGCTTTAAAATTCACATCTGCCATGTGACCCGCCAGACCACATGGCAGTGTTATGGTGTTAATGTCGAGTATCAACGGTTTAAATGCAAAGCCCATGACATTGAAAGGTGGTGACATGAAGGATTTTGCTCATATTGCTTCCGGTAAGTAAAAGTAAATGAATATAAAAGATACATGAACAATCAAATATACTATCAAAAATCAATAATTGTGACCGAGGCGCGAAAAAAGAAATAACCTTATACATTAAGTGAGGGCCCGAAACGTCAGGAAATCCAATTCCTGTCCAGCTATAACCCAGCGTAGTAAAAATATAGACTAATAATCAAGAAATGGAAAATATATAACGATTTTAATATGTTAGTAAAATAATATTCAATGAAAATATATCATAATTATCCTAATCATGTATAGAAATAAAATTAGCCAATAAAAAACAAATACTTAATTAGAGCTCATTTTCTCCTATTTCCTTAAAAAAAAGTAATTTGGTGAATACATCCCATATTAATTTTAAATGCTCAATAAATTACACATGCCAAATCTAAAGAGGTATTAATTTTGGTCGAAAAACAGGAAGGGATAAAAGAGGATATAGTGCTGTATGGATTTTATGAATATGAAGGTAACTGGGTTTCGATCAATCTCCTGAGATAATATTATTGTTCGGACATTTATTTCATATGAAAGTGTATGAAGAGATTCGAAGGTCGATTTTACCAGAGGACGGTTGAATCCCGTTGTACTGCGGCCGTTTAGCTTTAATATGAGGTTGAGATCGACGCAGTCCATGAGACCTCACTCTTTTCGATTAGAAATGGGCTGAGTTTCCGTCCATCATCAGAATTGGGACTTATTCTTGTGAAATTCTGAAGTTAACACTAAGATAGGAATACTATCCGACTCTATCTTACCTTTTATTTATTCTCATTCAAGCAAAAGAGAATTTAGAAACATAGATCACTATAGAATGGTTTTGTTAATTATCTTTATTTTGGATGGAAGCTTGAAACCATATCTCTTTCAAGCTATCAATCAAGCATAAATAGTTCCTACTCAACTTTCTACCATCGTTGCTCACATTCAACGTATTTCCTAATCTATTAGTTTCAATAGCCTCTCTTATCTTTCTTTTAACCGCAGACGTACCATAATCAGCAAACCTACTAGTTGAGACCATTCTATATTATGTCTAATTTCTGCCATGTGTTCGGCCACTTCTGACCATTAGACTCAATCTCCTTTACGAGCATTTTTGTGTTCTCCCAATATTTGTCGAATAGGTCGGTACATAAGATTAACCACATGAGCCCTCACACTTTCTTTTGTAATGCAATCTTTTAAAGAGAAATATGATCCATTATCGGGATTCAGCTGCTACAAAATTGTTAGTGACACGCCGATCTATTTGACAAGGATTGGGGGGACACAAATGCTCGTAAGTGAAGTTGGGTACAACGGTCAGAAGTGGCCGAACACATGGTAGAAGCTAGACATGAAATAAAATGGTCTCAAAGAAGTAGGTTTACTGATTATGGTACGTCTGCGGTTAAAAGAAAGATAATAGAGGCTATAGAAATTAAGATTAGGAAATACGTTGAATGTGAGGAACGTGGTAGAAAATTGAGTATGAACTATTTGTGCATGATTGATAGCTTGAAAGAGAGAGAGAGGGTTTTAAGCTGCCATCCAAAAGGAAGTGACCAAAATAAAGATTATTAACAAAACCATTCTATAGCGATCTATGTCTTTAAATTCGCTTTTGCATAAATGAGACTATATAAGAGGTAATATAGAGCCTGTCTTAGTGTTAACTTGAGAATTTCACAAGAATGAGTCCCAGTTCTAATGATGTCCATCATATGATGGACGGAAACTCAGCCCGTTTTCACCCGAAAAGAAAAGGAAGGTCTCGTGGTCTGCATCAATCTCAGCGTCATA